CCGTGTCTGAACTATGCCATTGGCTACACCAGTCGGTGGTAGGGTCACCCAGGCGGAGAGGTGAAGGGCCGCGTCCCGGTTAACAGAGGGCTTTGGCCACAACCCAACAGCGATTGCTCTGAAGTCCGGTAGTTCATGGTGATTACAAGCCCCGAGTTAGCAGATATCCTTCGGCAAGCTGGAGTCAATACAAATGACTTATATAAGTTTAGGGTATAAGAAACTCGTAGATGTTGGTGGGGTCCCTATTGAAAAACTACTCGTGAGCCGGCAGTCATTGGCCACAGTAGGTAAAGCCGACACTAAATAGATTAGTTGCATTATTTACATTACTCGGACTATCATCCTCAACATCATTGCCATATTCACAACGTTTCGGCCGTTGTACGCTCCGGATTTCTTCAGGTGATTGGAATTTCGAACAGAACCTTTTATTTTGTCCGCCGGAGTAGATTGTTCTAATTTCACGTGTCATGCCTCTTCCGTATGTCTCAGTTATTTCCCTCTAACTCAACTGTTCAAGTTTTGGTTTAACACTGCTGTTGCGTGGTATTGAACTCACAACTCTTTGAGTCTAATCGATGGCTGTGCTAGCTGGCCTTCTTCAGGTGGTTTTTCACGCTAGATAACATACTTCTCCTCCAGAAACTGTAGCTAAGGTCTGCTCAGCATATGGATTGGTTAGCCGCCCTAACAGACGGTTATTCTAGCAAGTAAATTAATAATAAAGTTCCATAAAATCAGGTTCGCAACAGAGACTGACACTATAATACAATACCCGGTCCGGTGGCAAAAACTGCTGGTGGCGCCAGGGGTGGCAGTACTGTCTTAGCCACCGAAACTCTGTTACCTTCACTGTTTGGCGGCTAACGTGGGGAGGTTAGTGCATGTGCTTTCACACGTTGTATGTATAGAATTTAAAAATAGTGTCATTTTAAAAACGGTTAACCAACAAGTGTTAGTTTAGGTAGCCCTAAGTGGGAAAAATAAACATGATCTTGCTAACCAGTTATCAGCTCCATTTCTGGGTCTAATCCAAAATCAGTCATCAGGAGGAACCATAACAGCCAGTTTCAGCCCCTTTTCCTCTACTGCCTTCTGCTATGGGGGATCCATTAACAATGAAGTTAAATAAAACCAGTCTCGCAACACAATTCTAGGATATTAATATCGGTCACTATAAGCGGCTTGTGTATTTTAAGACAACGTCGAAAATTTTAATTTGCAGTTGTAAAAAGAAATCGCAAAAAACTGATACGTACTCAAAAACAAAAGTCGGTCCGGTGGCAAAAGATGCTGGTGGCGCCAGGGGTGACAGTACAGCCTTAGCCATCGAAACTGTGTTACTTTCCCTGGTTGGCGGCTGAAGTGGGCAAGGTACCGCAAGTACTTTCACATATTGTATGTAGAGAATTTATAAATAGAATCATTTTTTTTAAAAAGTGTTAATTTTGCTAGTCGTAAGGGGGGAAATAAGGTTTTAGCTTGGCTAGTCTTAAGGAGGAAGAATAAACAAAGTCTTGCTAACTAGTTCGCAGCTCCATTTTTGGATCCAAATAAAAATTAGTCATCAGAAGGATACATAACATCAATTTTCGGTATCTTTTCCTCTACTGCATTCTGCTGTGGCGGGGCCCCTCCATTGTGGAGCCTTCTTTTGGATTGGTGCTTACTGGTCTTTCCCACCATCAATTGTTCTCCAAGCAACTGTCATTATCCCGCTTTAAACAGATGAAGAGCGACGTTTTTCTGCTGTCTCCTGAAGATATACTACCACGTTTTTTATCTTATTGTTATAGCCAAATTGTCTTCTGAACACACTGGCAACATGTTTTCCGACAAAACCTCGGCATACCACAGCTAGATGGTAGAATTCAATCTTTCATCCGACTTCTTCACATTTGTCTATCAGGTTTTCATATCTCTCAACTTTTCTTTGCTATGCCTGTTCCTCCCAAAGGACTGTCATTTTCATTCCATAACACTAGGTCTAATAGAATATCTGCTAAATGAAATGTCCATATTAAGTGTTTCTGGAAAGAATATAATTGATCTTTATCATCTGAAGGAATGACAAAAATGTTAATATCTGTTTAAGACATTAGCATTCATGCACGGTTATCAGTCAAAGGATGAGCCCAAAATGTTATTTGCAGGTCGGGAACACGAGAATCAAGCAGGTGTGGAAGTTTAAATATCTGAGGAGCGTCGTGACAGAGAACGGTATTTGCGACACTGAGATCTGTAGATGTATTAGGATGGCCAAGGACGTATTGCAAAAGCTGGGTAGAGTATTGCGAGACAGGAGGATTTCTTTAATAGCAAAGAAAAGAATATTGAGCGGTTACGTGACATCTGCCATTCTTTACGTCAGCGAAAGTTAGACGGTCTCCTCAAAGATTTATAAACTTGCAAGAACGCAGATGACACAGTACTGATAGCAGACACGGAAAAGAAATTATAAAATCTCCTACAGAAGGTAGCGATGGAGAGTGAGAAGAAGGGGACTAAGCATAAACTACAAGAAAACAGAATGCGGGGTCATCAGTAAAAGGATGAGTCCGAAATGCAAGTTGCAGGTCGGGAACACTAGAATCAAGCAGGTGCGGAAGTTTAAATATTTGGGACAGAGGACGGTAATTGTGACGCTGAGATCCGTAGACGTATTGGGATGGCCAAGGACGCATTCCAAAATCTGGGCAGAGTATTGCAAGACAGGAGGATTTCTTTGATAGCAAAGCAAAGAATACTGAGCTGTTACGTGATATCTGTCCTTTTTTACGACAGCGGATGTTGGACGATTTCCTCAAAGATGAAGAAGAAACACGAGACGCGAGACGACGAAAATGTGGCTCTACAGAAGGATGCTGAGGATATCATGGACCGAGTGTGTGAGCAACGCTGAGGTCTTAGGGAGAATGCAAACAAGGAGGAGGTTTATACTTAACATCAGGAAGAGGCAGATGAAGTTTCTGGGACGCATAATGAGGAAGGAGGGCCTGCTGAATCTGATACTCACGGGTCGAATAAAGGGAAAGAGAGACTAGGGAAAACAACGCGTGACATAGCTAGCTGGCTTACGCCAGTGGATGACAGAACGTGGTCTTGGGGAGGAAGCAGAGGGAAAGAACTTGCTGAGAGCTGCGAGGGATAGAGGGAGGTGGAGAGCCATGATCGCCAACGTCGTGAAAAGACATGGCACATAAAAAGATAGAAAGAAAAGAATTTCTATCCATTTCCTTACATATAAGGTGAAAATATTTTCAAAGATTGGAAGAAAGATATTTTTTTTAAGCATTTCACCCCATTTCAAGGCGGGAAGCCACTAGGACGCAAGGGGTTACAGAAAATTTAGAGCAAGATCAGATAGGAGTGATAGAAGAAAGGATGAGGGTAGTGGATAGATCAAGGCAACTGGAGATGTCGATTGATATTACACTTGAATAGCTGGAGATTATAGCTCACAGGGAAACAGGAATAGGGAAGGGAGTTCCACAGGCGAGAGGTGCGAGACATGAAGCTGTTAGAGTAGAAGAGACGGCTACATTTAGGAGTTTCGACAGTGAAGGGGTGAGAGCGGGATGCCAGCCTCGTAAGGCGCTGGAACTCATGACGTCTGGGAACCAGCGAATCCAGCTCCCCGGAAAGATTTCCATGAAAGTATTTGTAGAACAGACAGGGGGAGGCGACGGCGCGTCTGTGAGAAAGTGACTGTAGACGAGACGCAAGGGCAGGGCCAACTACATTGCATATCCGCCTCTGGAGCCTATCAAGAACCCCGAGGCAAACAGAAGGGGCTCCAGACCATATATGGCAGCAATACTCCATGCAAGGGCGAATTGTTGATTTGTAGATCTGGAGGATCGACTCCGGGGAGAAAAACTTCCTGGCGCGGCTCAGGAAGCCAACTTTCCTCTCGGTGGACGAGGCAATTGACTCAATGTATTTATTCCATCTCAGGTCAGCAGTCAACGTGAGACCCAGAAGCCGCAGAGAGTTGCTCTCGAGAAGTTGAGCGTCAGACATTCTAATGGAGGGAAGGGAAGGATCTCTGTGGTGATTAATAGAGAGCAGTTTTGTCTTAGAAGCGTTGAAGTTGACCAGCCAATTCATGCCCCAGTTCACAATCGATTGGAGGTCCTTTTCGAGACGCACGGCCAGGTGAGTTTTGTCAGCGAGACTAGATTTGTGTTTGAGGCAGGAATAAATTGTGGTGTCATCCGCGTAGATGCCAACTTGGGAAGTTCTGGCGTCAGGAAGGTCATTTATGTAGATAAGGAATAGAGTGGGGCCTAGGATGGAGCCTTGAGGAACACCTGCGTTCGTGGGATAGGAACTAGAAGAGAATCCGTTGAGAACGACCTTCAATTCACGGTTTGATATATGCAGAAGGAATTTTTTTTTTCAAAGAACTAAAAAGAGGGTTAATCTAAAACGAGGACGTAATATGTGGCATATCGTCGTCGTCTGCATGCGTCCGTATCGGGAGACGATGGAGTAGCGCTTATTTTTTTTAATTTTTTCCAAAAATTCGAGGCGATGGAGTTAAATCGCCTCTGGTGACTGTGTAGTCCCACTCTGGACCGGCAGTCTCTCAGGCACTTGGCGCAGATGAAACTGGATGACACGGAGATGGGGGCTGGCCTTGCTTTTCTCCTGGCTTTCTTTGCTGCCTGCTGATCTTCCCTCAATTCTTCTGCAATCGTGACGCAGTCACTGACTGTGACTCTCCAAAGCTGACGATCGTCAGCCGCTTATCAATAGATGTAAATAATCAAAAGGAAAGAAAATGTTTATACAGAGCGCATTATTAGTACGACTGATGAACTGAAAGAGAAAAATCTACTCTTTGTGTCCGCTATTGGTACAGAAAGAGTTTATACAAAATTTGAATGTTAAATAATTGCTTGGGTCTATCAATTTTATAAGTTTCAGTGTTCATACGGAAATGCTATTTATAAAAATAGATATCTAAGTCAGAAGAAAATATTCAAAAATTAATGGCGGAACCATATCTATCTATCTATCTATCTATCTATCTATCTATCTATCTATTATGTTCATTATCTATCTATCTATCTATCTATCTATCTCAGTCTCTTCATAACTATTTATATCAGTCTGTTCATATCTATCTATCTATCTATGCTACTCTTGTTATCTATCTATCTATCTATCTATCTATCTATCTATCTATCTATCTATCTATGGTACTCTTGTTATCTATCGATCTATCTATCTATCTATCTATCTATGCTACTCTTGTTATCTATCTATCTATCTATCTATCTATCTCAATCTGTTCATTATCTATTTATATATTTTAGTTTTTTTCATATCTATCTATTTATCTATCAAGGTTACTCTTCTATCTATCTATCTATCTATCTATCTGCCTTGTCTGCGGGGCATAGTTTATACCATCAGTTGTTGGGGGTGTATGAATCCCATAAAAGGCTTCACGTACCGGGTTGAGTTCTTGCACAATCATAAGAACATTGAGACTCGTTAGTACTTCTTGGGAATTTTATGTGCGTTAAGGTAAGATTTGCGGGTGGTGTAAGAGATATCGGTTCAGAATTGGAAATCGGAGAGCGGTGGTCGAATACTAGTGCATTCTTTATAATCCCTGAGTCGAAATTTTGAAATCTATCTATCTATCTATCTATCTATCTATCTATCTATCTATCTCAATCTGTTTATTATCTAAAAATCTATTTATGTAAGCAAATATATGGATATAGATCCGACAGTATGAAGAAAATATACAGAAAAAAAAATCTTAATATGCAATTATGCTGTTGACTTTATATTAACCTTAAGACAGCATAATTGCATATTAAGATTTTTGTTTGTTTTTTCTGCATATTTTTCTTCATATCTATTTATATATGTTAGTGTTTTTCATGTCTATCTATTTATCTATCAAGGTTACTCTTCTTTCTTTCTTTCTTTCTTTCTTTCTTTCTATCTATCTATCTATCTATCTATCTATCTATCTATCTATCTCAGTCAATTCATATCTATCTATCTATCTATCTATCTATCTATCTATCTATCTCAGTCATATCTATCTATCTATCTATCTATCTTCATATGTATCTATGTATGCTACTCTTGATACTATCTATTTATCTATTTTAGTTTCTTCACATCTATCTATCTATCTCAGTCTCTTCGTATCTATCTATCTATCTCAGTCTCTTCGTATCTATCTATCTACTTATCTATCTATCTATCTATCTATCTATCTATCTATCTATCTAATTTGATATCAACATCTTTTTCCGTGCCAAATGCTTGTTTGTTTTTCCAAAAGCAGCAATTCAGATCGCCACATTTCTGCATGATCAGTCTCATAAATCTTTTATATTCGTGAACAGAAAAAAAAAATCTTGTCGAGAGTAGCCAATTCTTAATTTGATGTGTTCTTTGGCCCAAACCAATAGAATTCCTCACGGGGAATCAAACATCCATGTTTTCATAAGGTGTACACCCCCCAAAAAAAGAAAAAAGAAAAAAGAAAGAGAAATATAAATTGGTTGATCGATCGGACAGCCAATAAACCGATATATATTAAAAAAGATTTGATCAGACAAATAGAATTATCGATCGACAGAAATACTGATTTTATGATACCTCAACCGCAGAAAGAATCGATTAACAAATATAAATTGTCAAAAATGGATCCTACAGATCCGGTGTTATATAGTAACAATTTCAGATCAAAATTCTGCTGCTGGCCTGCGGAATATATATATATATATATATATATATATATATATATAGAGAGAGAGAGAGAGAGAGGCATAGGGGATTAATAGATAGCGGCTCGGATTAAGGAATCGGAAAGCCATGTTCGAATTCCAGTTGAATCCATTACATACACTTACGTGCTAATACCCCTGGGATAGGTATGCATCCTCTTCTGTCCCCAGCTATGGGTAAATAGCAGGACAGACTGAATTCTATATTCTTTAATGGCATCTGGTCTAGAAGGACAACTCTGATTTCAAAGTCGTTTTTAGACCATTTGGTATGTGGGGTACCAGGTCTTTGTATTCGGCCCTTCTTCTCAAATCATATATGGTGGTGCCTGGTCCGTGAATTCTTTGCTTGACGTTGATACGTCGAATCCGACGCGAGTGTCCACCATATATATATATATATGTATATATATGTGTGTTTGTGTGTATATATATATATATATATATATATATATATATATATATATAAACAGAGATTTGTATCCAAAGAAATGATATATAGAGCAGTATAAGTGATAAATCCGTTGGTATATATTCCAAGGAATCCTCATAATATAAAATATGAAAACTGATCCACAAAAAAAGATCAATAAATTTATTATAACAGAACATTCATAAATATAAAAGCACAAAAACTAACTATATATATATATATATATATATATATATATATATATATATATATATATATACATTGAGTTCTTTTTTGTTGATCAGTTTTAATATTTCATATTATTAGGATTAACTTGGATTATATACGAACGAACTTATTACTTGTGCTATATATATATATATATATATATATATATATATATATATATATATATATATGTATATATTTGTGTGTGTGTGCCTGTGTGTGTGTATATATGTGAGCATACATGAGAAACTATATCTTACTAAGTTTATAAAAAAAATACAAATTTATTCAAAGAAATTATTAGGATTAACTTGGATTATATCCCAACGAACTTATTACCTGTGCTATGTATATTCATATATATATATATATATATATATATATATATATATATATATATATATATATATATATATATATATATGAGCATACACGAGAAACTATATATTACTAAGTTTATAAAAAATAAAAATTTATTCAATCAATCAAGGAAATGAAAGATATTCTTTGCCGTCATTTTCAAAGATTTTCCTTAAATAATATCTAGAAATGAAATAAAAAGTCGGAGCTGGTAATATACATATTTATATTTGATACGAAAAGTATAATTTTTAAATAATTTAAGTAATTCTATTAGATTTACTCGATTTAAAAAGGAATTTAGTCCATTAGAATTAAGAGTAAAACTATTTTAAAATTGTAGTTAAATATAACGTATTCTAATCCAAACACCCTTTTTAGAAAGAATCTTTAAGTATACAAGTACGAAAAAAATGCCGAAAAACTTTTGTCGTTAAAAAAAACCCAGACGACATGCATTTAACGGATGTATGAATTCGTTGAAAAATATACCCCTACCCTCCCTAAACTTAACCTCTTTTTCGAACGTAACTCATAATTGATACAACAATAGTTAATAAAATGAACACTCTACCGCCCCTGTCTAAATGATTGGATTTCTCTGTATCCTTGGAAAGAGGAAATTATGAATTTATATGTGCGTTTAAACACAGTAAATTTAACAATAAGTTATTCCAAAATTCGCTTGAAGATTAAACAGAACAAATGCTTTTAATTTAATTATATAATTAAATTTGAAGTTTTTAGCTTCGGTTTTTGAAACATGTTTATCACTGTGTAGCGAAGAAACCCTATTTTAAATCAGTTAATTTATAATATTTATACTCTGTAAATTTACATTGAGCACTGTTTTGTAAAAATAAAAATATCAATAAGAACACCGGATTATATATCTTACTGTTCTTTCTTTATATATATATATATATATATATATATATATATATATATTGGTTTAAACTGATTCTGTTGCACAGTATGTGTTACTTCTATGTGGCCATAAGCATATATATATATATATATATATATATATATATATATATATATATATATATATATATATGCATATGTATATATATAAATGATATATCTTTGTTATAATAAGTCTTTGAAGAATTTACATTTTAATATTTAGACTTCTTCCAATGTGTTATTCGATAAATTTGTTTTCAATTTCTTACTTCAGCAGGTTGAAATCCCGACATGTTAGTTTTGACTGCTTCCTAAAGACGAAAAGATTAAATGCGAATAGAAAGATGTTTTTTTTTTTTTTAAATGTGTTATTGTTTGCGTATAAAAACTTATGGGGCGTGCAGTCGCAACGCTAAAGTTGAATTTTTTGAAAATTTAAGAGAGTGCGTTTTTTACTAATATGGCAATTTGAGAATTTTTTCGTTTGGGATGCTACCTGGATTTTACTAAAATCAAAATAATTTCCATGCCTGATGATGACTGAATGTACAGTTGAAGGTACTTGCATATTTAAAAAAAAAAACCTTATACAGCTTATAATTATTAAAAACAAGGATCACAACATTCATCGAGTGGTTCTTAGGTTAATGCAACCTTAAAATATTGTTAGCGAAGGGATTTCGCCATTTTATATCATTAACTTTACTAATCTACTTTTTGTATGAATGATTCATTGTAATATATATATATATATATATATATATATATATATATATATATATATATATATATATATATCAGTCTGTCCATATCTATCTATCTCTTCATATCTATTTATCTATCTATGTATCTATCTACGTTTTATTAAAGTTACTGGTTTTTTTTATGAAAACTAATTTAAAATAATATTAATTAAATGCTAATTTAATTTAAAAAGGTATTATGCAAAACCACAAAATCACTTTTTTTTCACTTTTTACTTCAATGACGAGGTAATAAGATCCTCAACAATTGATCAGCTCCTATAATGGAACAAATAACAAACACATATAACTCACTAGCAGCATGGCCCGGCGTTGCCCGTGCTTGATTCAAAAATCGTACGATTCATACAGCAATCGCTATCACTTGACTTAAAACATTTTTGCCCTTCTTTGCCTTTAAATGAGTGCCCTTTGCCGTTCTGATGTTGCTACATGCCTTCCTTCTTGTCTATCTCATACTGCGAATTTTTTCTAAGCTCTATACTTAAGCTCTATACATTAAATCTGTTACGAAAAAAGAACTAAACAAAATGAACACAAAACGATCAGCTTTAAAAAAGGACTCGTAACTGGAAAAACCGAATGAATAAAGAATGTTAACAACATATACTTTTTTACACACAACCCAGTTCTGCGGAATCCGAATCAACGATGAGTTTAAGCAAGCGAATGAGCCAATTGGAATAAAGTGCCATGCAGATTTAAATTTTTCCCACTTGTGACGAATGCAGCTATCGACTTTTTTTTGCATGCTAGCATGCTAGTTAACATTCGTGTCAATCAGCTGTTGGCTCTCTCTCGCTGGTCAATGGAAACTTCCTGCCTATTCGTGGCAGCCAGCTATTAGCTCTCACTCTAGCCAGTAGAAAATGACCGCAAACTACATGAAAACTGCCGTAGACACACACACATCCTGCCTTTTATAGAGATAAATAAAATTAAGTCTTTGAAGCATTTATATTTTAATATATTGAGACTTCTTCCAATCTGTTATTCATTGATATTTTTTCAATTTGTTACTTCAGCAGGTTCAATTTCCGAAATGTTAGATTTGATTGCTTCCCATTGGTCTGCTTTGCTGTCATATTGTTTGTTACCTTCATATAATTTCATATTCACAATTGACCATCGATCAGATTCTTACCATTCAAAGAAAGTTTTGCCCATGAAGTTGTCGGATCCTAATAAGATTTTCATTTTTTTTTCTAATCATTTATTCCGTTAATATAACATTTTGTTCTTTATACTTTTTTCTCGTTCATTCTTGTTTTGTATTTTTCATTCTTTCTTTTTTTCGTTTTCTAATTTTTTATATTTATTTATACCATTTCTTCTTTCTTACATTATTTCTTCCTTTCTTTCGCAGGTTCAGTTTCAAACATTTTAGTTTTGATTGCTTCCCCTAAGTCTGCTTTGCTGTCATATTGTTTGTTACCTTCATATAATTTCAACTTCACAATTGACCATAGATCAGATTCAAATCTGATTCAGGTCGAAACATGATAGTGACAATTCCATTATTTTCCCACCTATAAAACTTTTATTTAGATACACAAGAACGCGAATTGTCGCTGATAATATCTCCGTTTTCAAACTGCGAGGCTAGGACTCATACCATTCAAAAAAAGTCATCCACATGGAATCGAAATAGTTACTATCGTTCAGTATCCGTCTATATTTCTGAGATGAGGTATTATGTACACTATTTACATTATTCGGACTATTGTCTTCATCTTTGTCGCCATATTCATCACAACGTTTCGGCCCTTCAGTATCTGTCTATATTTCTGAGACGAGGTATTATGCACACTATTTACATTATTCGGACTATT